GTGTGTGTGTGTGTGTGTGTGTGTGTGTGTGTGTGTGTGTGTGTCATTTTGTACTCTTTTTCCGGTGTGAAATGTTGCTAAATCGTTCAAGTACGTTCTCCCTCCTTCTCTCCCTTTTGTGATTCAGATTTGGTTATATCTTGTTTGTATAAAGTAGCTGGTGTTTTACACCTCAGGGCCACCGTACAATTGGCTGCCATTAGCTGTGCTCGTCCTCCTGGGTAGCGTGTAATGGCCCTCCTCAGGCCCTTTTCACAGGAAAAACCTCCCATGCTTCATCTGCACATACTGTTCTTGTTTTGCTGCCCATCCGCCTCTGGTTTGCTGTTGTTCTCTCACCACATTAAAACTCAGTTCTTTCTCTTTTTTTTTTCTCCTTCAAATCATTGAACTGCAGCCTTCAGGTGGAACAACATGAAGGTAAAGCCTCTAGTTTCATGGACAAAGCACTCATCGTCCCTAATGGCAGCAAAACCCAATCCAGGAATGCAACGTTTCCACGAGGCTTTGAAAAATAAATCAAAAAGAAAAAAAAAATGAAAGGAGAGACAACGGGAGCAGCAGATTTTTTTAATACCTTTTCTAAAGAGTGGCTGCGTGTTACTTTGATAACATAAGCACAAATTGCAGCGAAGGGTGGTTAGCCCTGAGCGTGCGAGGCTACGGCCCTGATTGTTTTTTGAATAACATTAAGATCTTCAAAAAAAAAAAAAAAGAAATAAAATTATAATAATGTGTTTCCTCAGAAACAAAAGCACCAGCATCTGCACCATCTGTAAAATAATCTGATTGGCAGGCATTTTGCACATCCCCACAGAGAAAAAAAGTTTCACTTGCTCAATATTTCAACACAAAGAAGTAGAAAAGTTGTTGTATAAAATTTAAATAAAAACAGAATGCGATAATTATCAATAATTATCATTTTGTATTTGAAAATATAGAAAAAACTTCTTTAATTTTCAGGAAAAGTGGCAAAAAATATATTTTTTGTTTATTTGTTGCTCAGAAAAGTGCTTCATAAATGTTTTAGCACATTTCAGTTAAAGGACACTACGGCAGTTTTTCATCAAATGTTGACAAAATTCAGTTATCGCCAATTTTGTTGCCTCAATAAATCATAGCTGCTGCATTTCTATGCACTACGGTAATTTGTGACTTAATCCTAATTTCGATGTGATGGGTCACATTGTCCTAAAATCTATATCGAGTATAAATGAAATTTAATAGGAAATATTTGTTATAGTACGTTTATCCAGAGTTGAATAAAATAGCACAAACTCATACAAAGGTAAAAGTATAAAATTACTTTGGTAAAAGTTAAAGTCTCCTTTAGGAATATTACTCGAGTAAAAGTCCTAAAGTATCTGATATTTTTTGTACTTAAGTATTAAAAGTAAAAGTATTGATTTAAAATGAGCCGTTAGATTTTCTATAATGACATTTATTAGGAGATGACCTCACAAAAAATACTATATTGTATTAAAATAATTAATTAGTTAAATTTAGGATGCACTAGTCTAGTTGTTTTAGTTTATATACATATATCAAGGCTGCACAAACCTTTTCCCCAAAATGAAAATCTACAGTATCTGTTCATGAAAAACAAAAACTTCTTAAGAACAGTCTTTTTTTAATGATTAAGTCCTGCTGGAGTGTGACATGATTTGTTTGTGTACGATACGGTATCAGAGTTTTATACACTTCTCATTCAACCACAATTAAATTCACTCTATCTAGGAGGCACAATTTATATGGATAGTATTTATTTTTTACAATAACAAGATGGAATAAAAACAAGCAAACATTTTATAAAAGTAATGACTTTCTACTTCTTGCCTTTTTAAAAAATGTAAGAAGTAGAAAGGACAGATAATTTTCTGAAAATGTAAGAAGTACAAGTAAAAGTATGCTGAAAAAAATAATCAAGCAAAGTACAGATACCCAAAAATCTACTTAAGTACAGTACCACAATATTTGTACTTAGTTACGTTACAACGCTACATTTATCAGACTAATAACACAAATAAATTTTTTACAGCTGTTGTTATATGGAAGCGATTAAGTAACAAAACCCTAATTAAAATTTTGTTACTTAATCGCTTCCGTATTGTTAACAGTGACAGACCTGATTTTGTGTTGCTTTTTTGTACAAGTAAACACAGAAACACATTGGGAGTGGGAGGTGGGCTAAGCCCCCACTGTGTGAAGTTGCTATGAACGGCCCTGAGCAACAGGAAGCAGAGCCAGTAATGAAAGTGCCATCGCTCTGTCTCTTTATTGATTGGCCTCGCAGCTCTCATACAGATGTGTGTAACACCACGTCCTGCAGGGCCTGGCTGCAATTGAGCGATCGGGTGGCGTTCTGGTTAGCTTTAGATGGCCATCTGATGAAACTTCAGCATCAATCTCTCCTCGACACGCTGGACTCGGCCTGTCGTCTGCAGCAGATCTGCCCAGCAGTTCAGCAGCTCTTTGATTCACAAACTAAAGCCGGTCATTTCGGCTGTCATTTCACCAGAGGGGCCGGTCGCCCGCTGCGTGAGATGGCAACACACAGACAGCATTGTAAACATCTCCGAGAGCGAGAGCAGCGGCGCTCTGCGTTTACCAGGCCGCTCTGCAACATTAAACACAGACAGCTCAGCGTGCAGCAAAGTTGGATCAAATCAAATCCACATCAACTTGAAAACAGGAGAAAAATAAAAGGCAAAAATGATGTTTTTGTGTGACACTTTGATGGTGCCAAATGTTACTGATCAAAAATGTTAATTCTGCATGAGGTGGCTAATGAGGGTCACCATGTTAACCAAAACCTGTGTCTCTCACTCGTTGACTTAAGAGACAGAAACAGGATGATAAGACCATCAACCTGTTTGTTTACCAACTGAAGAGAAGTGAAAATAGGTCAAACATTAAATTCTACATTTGTTCACCTGTTCAGACTACAGCCAGGTAAGTCATGACTCAAGCTTCCATGTGTGTTTTTGAAAAATTTGGCTTTGATTACATTGAGTGCATACCCGCATTTAAGAAATGTGTAACAATATATCTTGAAAACTACTGGAGGAAACTCTGTCAAACTTCTGTAACTTTTATTTGTTATTTGTTTACTGTTTATAATTATAATACTGTAACATTTTTTAAAGCTGGATTTGCAGTGAGTGAGGACCTTTAATGTTTGATAGGTTTTCTCACTTGCTTCATCACAATAATGTGCATGAGGAAAACTTGCAATTTCATTCAGATTGTGTGTTTTGATGTATAATTAGCTTTTTGTTTTGAAACAATCCAGAAATTTTTAATGGGCCACGTGGGGTCAGTGAAAATTCAAAGGTGGTCCACCAAAACCAAATTCTGGAGCAGATACTGATTTTATTTATGTTGTTATATGTTTTTGATTTCTTATGCCAATTTGTAAAGAAAATTTTCACAACTTTTTTTCATAGGCTATATAATCGATCTGATCATTATGTCCTAAAGAGGCTCTCAGCTGATTAATTTTACTCCATGTTCAATGTAAACATCTTTAGTGTTGGACAAACTTTTCAGTTGTCTAAACCAAAATTGTGTGACAGAAGGTTTAATAAAATCAGTAACACCAGAGTCAAAGAATAATTTTCTGATATACACAAGTCTACTTTATTAATTTGTTTTTTTTTAACATTTATTTGTTACTTATTGTGGGTTTGAGACAAAAATCAAAAAAGTTCCTATTAGGTATTAAAAACTCATTTTATTGGATGCATCTAAAATCAAAAAATACAAAATGTTAAAACTGGTTGAGAAATAACGTTTATGCAGTTTTACTGGAATAAAAAATAGGCAAATTTTGGCAGTGACGCAGTCAGATTATACTGCTTGCAAGCCTTAAAAATACACTTTAGAGTTAATTTTTTTAATGAAAGTTGCTCAGAATGTACAAAACAATTTACACTAAAATATCTTACACCTTTTAATGAATATATGTCCATGGTGTGACTTTTGATCACTGGAATCTAAAGAAATGCATCAACTCACCTGTGGCAGTGATCGAGGATTGTCACATACATCCCTACATATTAACAAAAACACTATTCTTACTCAGCTTATTGAAGCTTGTTTTCTTCTACATATATAT